CCTCTTTCAATACACTGAAGATAGTATGCACATCTCCTTGTGCATTTCTGATCCTAACTTCTTCTCTAGCATCACCTTCAAGATAGCGATAAGCATATTTAGCCTGATCACTTGGACTAAGCTGTAACGTGGACAGACAACTACTGACATCCTCAATCCACTCGTGGATTTTTGGGTCTTCTGCCGTACACGCACGACCTTTATATTTCTTGGGTTCGCGATCATTACCCACGACAATTACAGATATGTTATTCAATAAGGATGAGGTGTTGGGTATCGGACTTCTGAACTGCGGTTGTGTTGTATTATCAGCATTAGTTTCAACTGGATTGCTGGTGACTGGTGACGGTATGAATGCTGGACGTGGTGGTGGTTGATTGGTGGTGCGTGGTGTTGAAACTCTCCTAGACATCAACGACAATTCGTTTTCCAGGTTTGCAATTTGGCGTTTATACTCTTCCGCCAAAACATTCGTGGGCTTGCCTCCCTCAGCCATGCCTGCTATCAAACCTGCAGTGTCACAAAATTGCACACCTAAAACTGGAATATCAACTAAATAGTGCTATCACTAAAAGTACCAAACTATACATGTGCATTAAATGTTAGTTTATTTAATCTATTAGTATTAGATTTTAATTTCAATACCCCTATTTTTCACCAGGTTTAAATTTCTATTTTTAGATTAATTTTGGAGTAGCAAGAAACAATGATGTCAAAAAACAAATGATGTAACCAGCATTTAGCCAATATTTTATCAGGATGTACACCATCAAGCATTAGATTAAAATTCCAGGAATATCGCAATCTCCTTCCTTTACCCTTGTGACCTCTCAACAAGTCGTTGGAAAACCCCAAAGTTGGTTGATTTAATGAATTATTCAACAAATTAATCTCCCCATTTATTGTCTTGATATAACCACTGAGGATGAAATCGTCTTCTGCAAAGATTTCGGGGTTTGAATGTCCTTTCGATTGATTATATCTACTAATAGAAACTGGGGGTATCTCCAAACATTTTACTGAACAGCCTGGTTTACTATTCACAATAGAAATTAATCGTCTGTACTGTCTTAACACAAGTGCAACTGGGTCTCTTAGTTTATTACCGGCGTGAATATATCGCCCCACCTTCACTGACAAATCGCAAGTGGCTAACCATACATATACACTCACCGAGCCAAAATCACGTACATAAGTTGGAAAGTTTGCCTCAAATAACTCAATAGCTCTTTCTGTGGTAAAACCAGAATGACACTCGAACCTAATGTCAACAGAATTAAGACGGTACTGATTTCTTAAATACAGGCCTTTACTGTCAGACAATAAAATCGGGACGGCCAGTCGTCTGCCACTAATTTCAGGTAATGGTTTTGTAATAAATTTATCGAGCTTCGAAAAGCTCATAACAGTATATATACGCGTCACAGTACTACAATATTTATATAAATAGTTAATACTTCAATTGAAAACTACATAAAAAATTACAGTTTACAAAAAGAAAACACAAAACAATCATTAATCAAACACGTGACATAGACTTCACAATCCACCGCCATCTTCTCTTCTGGAAAATACTCGAATTTGATAATATTAAAACCGGAAAATTCTTACCATAAACTTGTTGGCAATCCTATCGGCGACGCCAATTGTAACCGAGCAGTAAGATCGAAAGGATTGCCAACTCAAACTACAGGTTGTAGACGTTTATTATGCAAGCAAATCACAAAGAACAATGCAGCAGTGCTGTCGGCTTGTCTCGTAATCTCTCTGATTCTCCCTCGTCTCTCTGTCGTCAGTCGCACGCTTGTCACGTGACTTCTCCATACGGGTTCAGACCACTAGTGAGTGACAGGGTGTACAAGCATGTACAACAACAAACCCATTCGGCCACATTAGTAAAGCCATTTTGTTTTCCAGCTGCCTCGCAGTATACGCAAAACATCAATCCACGATCGCCCCGTCAAAACGAAGCCATTTAAATTCTTTAAGCCACTGTTATTGGAACTGCTTTGCTTTAGGTGCTTGCACAGGGGCAGTTTTACTAGCTTTCGATGTGCTGGGGCAGGGAGCATCATTATTATCAGCGACGACAGACTCATCGTTGCCAATATTTTTTTTGCGTTTGTTATCACCGCGTCCGTTGAAAAAAGATGAAAGATTTGTCTGCTTGGACTCCATTTTGAGAAGGTCACGGCGACATTGAGCAGCGATTATTCAGACGGAAAAAACGGCATACTCAAGTTACTATAAATAGCACCGCTGTTTGACAGCCATTGCCACTAGGCTTGTGACACAAGAGATGAATGGAGAGATAAAGTAGAGCAGTTAATTTGTTGACGTTTATGTTTACCAGTCCCACGGACCGATGGAAAGATTATTTACCGGTACATGTTCAAATTTACCGGTATAAAACCGGAAAATACTGGTTATCGGAAACTCTGAACATATATATATATGGTATTCTTTGACATCTTCATATATTCAGTGCTTGGACTAGGTAGAAATTAGCCATTTTTCCTCAAATTTTGGAATGCGACCCCCACAGACAATACAGTTCTGTTGAAGAGAATCTTGTCATCAACTTGTCAAAGACAATATGTTGTAGCTTAATTATCTGATACAGATGATGTGGTGTTTAGGGCATGCTAAGTATCATATTACACTGCTCTATATTTAGATCGGTTTGGATCAGTTTCTATTCAAATTAAATGTAGAAAAAAAAAAAAAAAAATTTGATAAATAAAAATAACATTTGATTCAAATATTACATAAAGGTACACTAAGCTTTTTATATTTTAAATTTGATGTAATAGAAGAAACTTTATTGCATAAAAGAATTACAAGGTTATGTGCATATACAAATGAAAATAACAGAAAGATACATGCATTAAGCAAAGATACATATACATGTACATAATTATACAACGATACACAACTTTACAAAGACATGAACAAATTGTATACAAAAGTTCCCAAATATTCTAAAATGTCTACATTTTTATTGATCATCAGTATCTTAAATTGTTGAGAGCCACGGTTGCTAAGTGGGTAAGACACTGGCTCGCTAGTCTGGAGGTCGTATGTTCGATCCCTACATTGGTCGAGAAAGTTCGTTGGGATTTTCCAGCCTGGCTTCCCCTTGTCAGTGGTGCCGGACGGAGGGACTGACAAGGACAGCCGTCCAGTCGTTTGGACGGTACTAAAACTGACTGCCAGGGTATACATTAGTGTGCACGTAAAAGATCCCTTGGCAATAGGGATTCGATATAAGAGTAAGCCATGGTGTAGCTGCCTGGGCAAAATTTCTCTCATAGCACACTGTATGGCATATGCCCGTCTTCATTAGATGGACAGAACAAGCTAACAAAAAGGTTTTTTTTTTGTACAATCAGTGGTCATAATCCAGCAAGTTACGGTCTGAAGTATCAACATTAGGAACCCAGATCTTTGGGATATGAATATGTAACTGGATGAAAATTGTGACCTCTAGAGGATCCACAAGCTAAAAACGAGACTCGGTCTGGTACATGCCAATATCGAAATAAACCAAAATCTTTGGGAGATATGCCTATATTTCAAGTTCTGTCAACTTCGGATAACAATTGTGACCTGTTGAGTGTCCACAAACAAATTATGGCCGGACAAATGGACAGTGGCGACAGCAGTATACATCCACAAGAACATGTAGTCGTATAAAAATCAGGACCGGATGAAATGAGCCCCCTCAAATTAGAATAACAACTCTGGTCTGGTATCTGTGTTCTTCCTTGAATAAAAAGAATATGTTATGTACTGGGTTGGTTAGAATATTGGTTATATGACAGTCTCCATATGTAACAGTGTTAAGCTGTTATCTATCAACTTCATCATTAAGTTAATTCACCATATTTAAAATGACAGTTTAAGAAATGTTACTTTAATTTTAAAATGAAATGAACAATTTAAATTTTATCTAGTTAAGTATTTGCAAATTCTGTACGAATACACACTACTACAGTACATGTACTTTGTCTCTGGTTTAGACATGCAAATCCTTATCCAATTAAACAACATAATACATATGTTCTGTTTTCAGAAAGAATATAATTATAATTATAAATAGCTCACCTTTATTGAAAGATGTCAATTATTTATTCTGGCATCCACTACCATTCTTTTTAATGATAAAACTTGTTTTTTGGAATAAATAAACAACTAATTTCCCCAGAAATGATACCGATTATAATAAATGATGTCATTTGATACTCCCAATAGCAGGCAGGTTTATAGTTGTCAACATATAAGGGTAATAATGCTATCAAGTCGGACATGTTGTTTAGATTAGCATACCAGCCAATTAAATGTCAGTAAACTGGACACAACACAAACATCAAAAATTTAGCCCCTTTTCTGGACCTGGTCCATGCACTGTATTGCTTTAAGTGGAAGAGTAATAGGCTTCCATTCGAGTGGATTGAAATAAAATGGGGTTTAACATCCTACTGTTCTGCTCCGACTGGGCTAATAAAGATCTCAAACTTCTCGGCCAACGCATTGATCAAACACAGGACTTACATGTTAGTTAGCCAATGTCTTAACCACTGAGCCACTGTGTCTCCTCGAATGGATTGAAGGTCCGGGATTTGTATGGACATCTTCTGATTTTTGTTGCAATAGAGATATAACAGTACACAGTAGAAATAAGTTTCGAAGTTCACATAGTACTTTCGATAATCTGAGAAATGGCAATTTATCAGATTCCTTATCAAACTCCTATTGATATTCTGTGATCTTTGACATTCCGTTCCGAAATTACCCCAATTCTTCCAAAAACCTTGAAGCTAGAGTGTTTAACAGGCATTGGGATAATAAGAGCACAAGACCTAATTGAGTTTACCCTGTTGTCCATCCATCTGTTGCAAAATGTGAGTGTATCTTGCATGGCAACTGCTTGTTTTGTCTGTGTTTTATTGTGTTAAATTAACAATTAAATTCAACATGCTGGTAATGATATTTTGTAGGATGCTCTAGATAATGCTGTAAAGAAGGATTTACGTTCTAATAAAGAAGGAATAATAGAAGCTGTTTTAGCAGTAGAATATGTGTCTAGAGAAAGTAAGTGTTGCAGACTGAACTTGAGTCCAAATACAGAGTGTTTAGTTTATTAGCTTATTTTAATTTCCGATTGAAAATTTTTGTGGCCCTTGATTTTCAACAATTTCTGATATATAGAACAGCTAAATTCATGATGTTTGCATGTTTTGTATGCTAAAGGTTGGTATGGGTCAGAACTCGAAGCAAAACAAATTCTAATGATTTGTGATAATTACCGTACTTAAATACTGATTGCATCTGTTGTAAGACATTGTGTGTGTCTGTTACTGGCTGTAAGACAATGGATGCAGAATCAATCAAACCCAGCAATATCAATTCCATTTATACATTTGTTACCATGTGTTACATATGTCAAAATAGTGATCCTGACAAAATTTGTTACTAACTTATCGCTAAGTTAGCTGACTTTCTAATGGGAAATTAAAATGTGAAAAAAATCTTAAAAAGAGATCCTGACAAAATTGGTTATCTCTCGACAAGGAAAGATGCCAGAAGCAATTTTTGTAGACATCTATATGACCGTATTGATTCAATCTATAAGTCCACTGGAGTCAAATATTATAATGTTAAACAAATACTGTAATAAATATAACTCCAAAAAAAATGTTTGTTTTTAAGGCTAAAAGTACAGTTTTTGCCAAAATGACATTACTTCCGATGATAATGAAAATGTTAAATAAGTTCTATGAAATAATAAATGGCATCACATGGTGGAAATTTTATGAAAATCGAATAATAATTGCCACTTTTATAGACCAGAAACCTTGAAAATTGACTTGTAGAAAATCGTCTATTTCTCTGCAACCGTACACGATAGAAATCATTTTGTGGTATCTGTATGATCGTATGGGTTCATTCTATTTATTGATTGGAATCAAATATCATTTTAAAAACATTACAAATCAGACTTATTTGAATAAAATACAGTTTTTATACGCCCACATGGACGTATATCATACTTGCCAACTATTCCGGTTTTACCGTAACAAGTACGGTTTCCATCAACTTATTCCGGGTTACGGCTGCATTGTTAAAAAATACGGTTTTTCATTAAAAATATTCCCAAAATTAGAATTTGTTAAAAAGTTTTATTATCGAAATCGCGAAAGAGTCGTACGGTAATTCAAAACAAAGACAATCAGCGCGGCTTTATCGTAACTTCCTGTCGAACCATTCTGAATGCTACTGTATGCATGAGGCTATTTATTGCTCTGCTGCCAAGCGCAAGGCACCAGTCTTTGTTTCCAAACGAGTGAACGATCATGGAATCAGCCGGAGAAAAATCGCAAACGAGTGTAAAACCGAAAAGAAAATTGCAGTTATTCCGTGAGGAATATTCCAAAGCCTACCCAGGAGTAATTATCCGTTCAAGAAAGGGTCAAAATTACGTTATGTCAGGTATTTATCAACATGACTGTTCATTAAATTTAAACATGCATTATGCAAGAGCAAAATCTGCTTATTACAAGTCTTTCTTTAGGCCTGAAATGTTATCTAAATTATCAATTAGACATTAATTAACTTATTCAGACCATAATAAACTCTCGATGTCAAGGCTAGCCTTCGATGTTGGCTGGATTAGATTCCTACATGCCGCCAACGGCCAGTGATAATTAAATCAATAAAAGTGGATAATCGAGACTATCAGTTTATATTAATGATTTTAGTAATGATGACAGAGACTATGCAAAAATTTCACCCGCTTCTTTCTCGGCTCATAGTGGATCAATTTGACTGAAATTTTCAGCAAATTACCTTTACACTATCTAGTTTTTAACAATTATAGCGATAACTGCCATCTCTTTATCTTATCTCCCATAATGTATCTTTAAGGTAGCTAATAGAATAAATATGTCTATCAACCTTTATGACTTTTCCAGTATTATTTTTGGTGGAAAGTCTCTATGATTGTGGTAGGAATGTGATGATTTTGGCCACATTTTAACCTATCTGAATGCCCCAGGATCCTAGCTACTAGGCTTTTTGGGTTTCAAAAGTTGGCAGGTATGGTATATTGTCGTTGCCCCCGTCCGTCCATCCGTCCACAATTGTTTGTGAACAGTCTACAGGTCAGAATTTTGATCCGATTTCAATGAAACTTGAAATATAGGTTGATCAACCTAAGATCTCGATTCCTTTCGATATTGGCATGTATCGTTCTGTAACTTCATGGATTATGGCCCTTGATTGTATGAAAAATCACGTTTTTAGCTTGTGAACACTGTATAGGTGACAATTTTTATCTGACTTGGTTTAAACTTGACATGTATGTTTATAACCCACAGATCTCGTTTCCTTTCGATATTTGCTCATATCGGATCATAACATCCTGAATTATGGCCCCTGATTGTATGAAAAATCATGTTTTTTAGCCTGTTGACCCCATAGAGGTCACAATTTTTATCCCATTTAAAAAAACGTTACCATATATCACTGTTACACCCTAAGGATGGTTACATTACACCCTAAGGATGGTTGAGTTCGAATTTCGTAAAAATCGTACCGAAACTGACAAAATGGCGCATATCGGACCATAACTTCCTGAATTATGGCCCCGGATTCTACAGAAAATCGTGTTTTTAGCTTGTGGACCCCATAGAGGTCACAATTTTTATCAGACTTAAAAAATCATTTGAATATATCACCATTACAGTTACACACTAAGATCTTGGTTCCTTTTGATAATCGCGGATACCTGAACTTAACTTCCTGGATTATGGCCCCTGATTGTTCGAAAAATCGCATTTTGATAATCGCGGATACCTGAACTTAACTTCCGGGATTATGGCCCCTGATTGTTCGAAAAATCGCATTTTTAGCATGCCGATTCTCTAGAGGCCACAATTTTTTTCTGATTTTAAAAACCGTTTAAATACATCACCATTCTGCCATAATGAAGGTTGAATTTGTATTTTGGGAAAATCGAAATGAAACTGCCCGACAAAATGGCTGTCTTTGTATGCAAATTGTGTAGAAGTGTGTAATACGAAGGTTGTGGACCCTCTAGAGGGGCAATACTATATACCGGAAAACACCTGAAAACTACCCGAAAACACCATGTTATACTGAATACTGGAAAACACCGGAAAAACACTAAACACCGGAAAACATACTAAATACCGGAAACAACCCTAAATAGGTAACCCGGAGAAGGGCTATACTATAAACCGGAAACTAACCCTAAACCTAACCCAGGCACACAGAGGACCAAGCCTGGAAATAAGGCACCTGTCACTGACAATATCAGACACAGATTCAGGCTTTGTCAAGCACAAAACCTCTGGTGCCTGTCATTTTGTCAGGCACTGATTGTCTTTTTTGCTGATATTGTTAATACATGTCAGGCACTAAGTTGTAAATGTCAGATACTATTTCATTAGTGCCTGATATTTTGTCAGGTACATCCAAAACCGTTAGTTCCAGGCCTGCAGAGGACCAGGATCCCGGTTACCTATTTAGCGTGCCAGTCTCCGGGTTACCTATTTAGGGTATTTTCCTGTATTTAGTGTGTTTTCCGGTATTTAGTGTTTTTCCGGTGTTTTCCGTTATTCAGAATAAAATGGTGTTTTCCGGTATATAGTATTGCTGCTCTAGAGGTCACAATTGTTATCCGATTTTGATGAGACTTATTCATCGACGAATGAATAAAAACTTCTGTTTAAGGTCATGAGACGAAGAATCCTATTGATTTTCAACAATTTCCGATAATTACTGCCAGAGTTATGGCCCGTGATCTCTTTGAAAAATCTTTGTGGACGCCCTAAGGCCAAAGTTAATATCCCATTGACTTTAAATTTATACACAGTGTTTAAGGTGATGAGACGAAGAAACCTATTGATTTTCAATGATATCCGATAATTACTGCCAGAGTTATGGCCCTGATCACTTTGAAATATCTTGTGGACCCTCTAGAGGTTAAAGCTAAGATTTGATTGTCTTTAGATATATACACAGCATTTAAGGCCATGAGACTAAGATTACTGCCAGAGTTATGGCCCTTGATCACTTTGAAAGTCTTGTGGTCACTCTAGAGGCTAAAGTTAATATCTGATTAGTTTTAAATTTATACACATTGTTTAAGGTTGTGAGACTAAAAAGCTCAGTTATTTTCAATGATTTCTGATAATTACTACCAGAGTTATGGCCCTTGATCACTTTGAAATGTCTTGTCGACGCACTAGAAGCTTAAGTTAATATCCAATTGACTTCAGATTTATACGCAGTGTTTAAGATCGTTAGACAAAGAAGCCCAGTGATTTTCAATGATTTCCGATAACTACTACCAGAGTTATGGCCCTTGATCACTTTGAAAAATCTTGTAGATGCTCTAGAGACTGCAAATGTACTAATCATGGCTGAGTTGCAAAGTACAATTGAGCAGAAGAGGAGTGCACACCATGTGACTGGCTCTATTATATCGTCTGTTCTATAAATATCGTTTGTTGCTATATTTATAATGTGGGTTTTATGGATTTGGACTTTACGACTTTACTTACTAAATACCGTAATTAATAATGGCATGTTGCGTTAATTGAAATGTATGGAAACTTTATATTATTGTATTTGTAAAGTAAAAGATTAAATCAACATTTTAAAAACATGTTTGAAATAAAATTAATATCTTACACGTCTGTGTTTACCGTTCTTTGTTGTACTTTATTAAGATCTTGATTATTTAGGGGTATTTGATGAAAACAAAACTTATAAACTAAGGCCATTTAATTATGAAATGTTCTTTTAATTAATAAATACGACAAATTTTAAAACGTTTTTATTTAACAATGTTTAAGACACTTTAAGCCTGCCAGGAAATGCAAGATTAATAACACTAAGAGACAGACAAGGACAGAGAGGGAGAGAGAAAGGCAAACAGACACACACAGACAGACCCGCAGAAAGACAGAGAGAGAGAGAGAGAGAGAGAGACAAGATGGGAGGGGAGAGAGAGAGAGAGGAAGGGAGAGAGAAAGGGGGAGAGGAGAGGGAGAGAGAGGGGGAGA